TGGGGAGCGTCTCTCCAGAGATGTTCGATCAGGTTCAAGTCCGGGCTCTGGCTGGGCCACTCAAGGACATTCAGAGACTTGTCCCGAAGCCACTCCTGCATTGTCTTGGCTGTGTGCTTAGGGTCGTTGTCATGTTGGAAGGTGAACCTTCACCCCAGTCTGAGGTCCTGAGCGCTCTGCAGCAGGTTTCTGTGCTCCAGTCATGTTTCCCTCGATCCTGACTAGTCTCCCAGTCCCTGCCACTGAAAAACATCCCCAAAGCATGATGCTGCCACCACCATGCTTCACCGTAGGGATGGTGCCAGGTGTTCCTCCAGACAGGCGAAATAGTTAAATCTTGGTTTCATCAGACCAGAGAATCTTGTTTCTCATGGTCTGAGAGTCCTTTAGGTGCCTTTTGGGAAACTCCAAGCGGGCTGTTATGTGCCTTTTACAGAGGAGTGGCTTCCGTCTGGCCACCCTACCATAAAGGCCTGATTACTGGAGTGCTGCAGAGATCGTTGTCCTTCTGGAAGGTTCTCTCATCTCCAAGGAGGAATTCTGGATCTCTGTCAAAGTGACCATCAGGTTCTTGGTCACTTCCCTGACCAAGGCCCTTCTCCCCCGATTGCTCAGTTTGGCCATGGCTTGGTTTTTGCTTTGACATGCACTGTCAATTGTGGGACCTTATACAGACAGGTGTGGGCCTTTCCAAATCATGTCCAATCAATTGAATCTACCACAGGTGGACTCCAATCAAGTTGTAGAAACATCTCAACGATGATCAATGGAAACAGGATGCACCTGAGCTCAATTTCGAGTCTCATACCAAAGGGTCTGAATACCTCTGTAAATTAGGTATTTCTTTTCCTTTTTTTTTTATATACATTTGCAAAATTTTCTAAAAAACAGTTTTTCACTTTGTCATTATGGGGTATTGTGTGTAGATTGATGATAATTTGTTTATTTAATCCATTTTAGAGTAAGGCTGTAACGTAACAAAATGTGGAAAAGGTGAAGGGGTCTGAATACTTTCCGACTGCACTGTATAACTTCTAAAAAATATACCTTAAAAGAAAGTGGAAACCTTCTTGCCATTTATTAATGTTAAGTTGCAAACATTTATAACAGTATATAATCTCCTCAAACATAGTAAGAACAAAATGGAATTTAATAGAATGATACATTGGGAAAACCATTTTAATTGCCGTGACTCAAATCTGTAGCGTTTAATTGGTATAGTACCCTAGCTAATGTATTTTTCTCCTTTTTTAACATTACAAGTCAGAATGGAACATATTAACTATTTTAAAATACAACATGGTCCCCTTCTGTCTTCATCCGTTTCTTTGTTGTTAAGCATTTTCCTGTCCTGGAGTCTGAGACCTTGTGGGAATGTGTTGGAGAGTTTATGACAATTTAGCATAGACAATAGCTACATTACTCTGCTAGCATCATTATCCTGATTTCTACCATTTGGGCTTAGCTAGTTATGTTATCCACTGGTAGCTAATAATAATAATAATAATAGCTAGTGTTTAACATTACTTGCGAACACTGATAGCTAGCTACCACAGATGAAAGGGTTTAGCTAGTTATCAAAATGTTTGCTAATACACTAGCTAGTTAGCTAGCTAGCTTGTAAGTTAGTCTTTAATTTTATACCGCTCATGCTAGTTTGCTGACAAAGGATAATGACTAGCTAACTTACCAGCTACCTAGCTAGAGACTGTAGCTGAGTTCAAAGGTTAGATAACTAGCTAGCTAGCATGCTAATCCAAAAAATCTACCTAAACAAATTGCATGGAAACTCTGTTATGTTGATGTTAGCTAGCTAGCTGGCAGCTAACATTTGCTAGCTAGCAAAGCTAACTAGCTAGCCAGAAAACATGATCAATGCAAATATTATATTGTGTTATATCATGTAGCAAAATGTCTATATTCAAAAATATGTTTTAGGTTTCACCTAATGCTAGCTACCTAACGCAAAGATTTGTATAACTTACGCAAGATAGAAACAACCTGTCGTTTCCAATGGGAGCAAATTAATCATATGGGCAAAACAAGCAAGAAGGTGGGCAGAGCCAAGCATGAGCTAGCGAGAGCCTTTTGGCTCATTCTAGCATGTATTTGCATATTTTCGTTAGGGAACGCCTACTCTGAAGTGCGCGTGTGCAATAACTCAATTCGCCCTTGCACTCCTTCTAAACAACGCAATTTTGTTAAACTTTGGGAGTGGGTAAAGTCTACAAAACTTAGTCCACTCTGTTCGTAACAGATTCTATACTGAACAAAAATATAAACGCAACAATTTCTGTCTAGTGGGTGGCCTATGTACTCCCAGGCCCACCCATGGCAGCACCCCTGCCCATTCATGTGAAATCCATAGATTAGGGCCTAATGAATTTATTTCAATTGACTGATTTCCTTATATGAACTGTAACTCCCACTGGGGAACCAGGCCTAACCAATCAGAATGAGTTTTTCCCCACAAAGGGCTTTATTATAGACAGAAATACTCCTCAGCATCTCGCTTCATCTTCTCTCACTGCCGGCCACTGGGCTTCCTCTCACCACCATATGTGGTAGTGAGTGGAAACGCCAACCGGATGCTTCACAGCTAGCTAGCTGAGCAGCATGCTAAATTATACATCCGAACTTCTGTATTCAAAAGTGAAACAAATTACATAGAGAATTTACCCTCTCTCCTCTGTGTGAAAATGTGTATCTTGTGAACAATGTTTATTTTGCGCAATCTCTCTGGCCTTTGCACATGATGTCAGTGTCAACTCAACATTCTGGGCACGTTCCAGGTCGTCTTTATTTCAAGTGTGTTTCACAGATGGGCAGATCTCACAAAGTCGTGGGAATCTTTCAGAAACCTCGAATAAAGAAGTGCACAAATGCATCATCAGGGTTTCAGATGTAGGGTAAGACACATGGGAGTTGACCATTGGTCTGAAACCAACCATTTCTGTTCCTGGAACAGAGCAACAATGCATCACACCCAAAAGTGAGAAAATATCTATTATTTAACTGTGCAACCATTGAAAAAAAGGTTGCATGATAATACAGTACATAAACGTTCAATATTATACGCATTTGTAAGTGCATTTATAAATGGTTAATAGCTGGAGGTAAATAGTGGCTCACTATTTGGCAAGCACTGACTGGCTATGGCACTATTTTGACTAATTTGTTATAACCCATTTATTAATGGATTATAATGCTTTTACATATGATTAAATAACAGTTAATAACATAATTACAAACCCGTTATAAACCCTTTACAAATTGAACTTTATTGTAAAGTGTTACACTTTCTTGTTTATGTGCAATCAAGATGATGTTATTAGTTCCTTGTGAGGCTTTGGGGATCTCCTGTTGTGACCACTGTTAGAAATCTGGCGCTGACACACAATAGCACTTTCCAATTACCCCACCATGTTTAAAACTATCATGTCGGTCATTGTTGTATCCATAGCTCCAAATGAATCTAAAAGCGGTTACATTTCCTCAGCCCTATTAGTTTACAAAGTGGCAGGCTGTTCAAATTACAGATTGTGCCTTTTAATATATCAAAATCCTTTTAACTCTCTAGCCTATGTTTGGAAGGGTGTCAATTCATTAGAACAAGACATATTATTGTTATTCAGTCCACTGCTAACATCACATCTGCAAACCCATTGGGTCCTTAAAGAACAAGTCTCCGCATGCTCCACCTAGTATGTAGTGTTACAATGGTCATTAGATTATCACTGCAGTACAAATCCTACATTAATGCTGGAAAGATACTCAGAAGCTGACTTTCAAAATCAAGTTATCATGCCCTTCCTCATTCTTTAATTGCAAGAATATCCATTTCAATATAGTCTTTAGAGAATAATCCTAGCAGTATCGGATAATAACCACTTATCCTCCATAACCTATGAGTTATCCTTGCCATATTATAAGAAATAACAGGCACATCCAGCTCTTTCTTTAATCACAGATGAGTAGTCATTTGTGTGCGGTGCCCTGTGTGGCTGGCTCCTAGTTGGCACATAGACGCAGTATGCACACTATGTACTCAGCATGCCAAGTTGGGACAGGCACTGCATTGCAGCGCTGTGCATTTGCCCAAGTCATGGCACACAGGCTGAGTCTGATCACACAGTGTAGATAATCTACTGTAAAGAACATACGTCGACAGTATTATACCATAGTGTGCGTGACAGCCCGTATGTCGGAGCTCTTTATCCGTCTTCCGTATTTTAGACGGTCTCGGTAACAATCAATCTTCCGTCTTATTAATCTCTGAAACAGATGAGGTATGTAATACATGTCTCCATTTCCCGGCTCTATAGTACACAGTCACCCTCTGCAGGGCAGTTATCCGCATTAGCTCTCTCTATGTCCTTAAATGACTCCTCCTCTCTGTCTCACACCCTCCCTTCCTCTGTCTGTGTCTATAGCCTACCCCCCCCCTTTCCCTGTGACACATACGCTAGACGTTGCATTGATTGTGCATAGAGAACCTCACCCTCTTCTACCACCTCAGTCTCGAATGGAGAAGGAGAGAATTGGAGTGCTTCTGTTCTTTCTGGTGGGCAACCTTATCTTTTATCTGAATTTATGTTTGACTTGTTTAGAGAGGACTGTGCAGTACAGGTTAGAGACTGTTTGTAATAGGAGGATGAGTGTTGGATGACTTTCTGTGCAGGTAACAGTTAGTCCAGTATATTGAATACCTGAAAGCTTATGCAGAGTAGTTCAAAACTTATATCTCATTCCTCTGTATCAACAATCATGAAGTTCTGGAAAAGAAATGTTAGCTTACTGACAGTTTTTGTAGGAAATAGTAGCAAAGATACTGTGAACTCTTACTCTTTTTGTAAATAGCATATTAATATGCATGTTGTATTGTCTGAATGTGGATAACTTTTTTCTCCATCTCCTCTTTCTCTCTCTTTCTATCTGTCTCTGTCGGCAGATGCCCTTTCAGCCGGTCCTGTCTCCAGTGAAGACCTGCTCTTATCATAATGTCCCAGCTCCTGCATGTGGAGATCCCCAACTTTGGCAGCTCTGTGCTGGAGAGTCTGAATGAGCAGCGCCTGCAGGGCCAGTACTGTGACGTGGCCGTCATGGTCAACGGCCAGTCCTTTAAGGCCCACCGCGCCGTGCTGGCCGCCAGCAGCCTCTACTTCAGAGACCTGTTCAGCGGCAGCTCCCAGGGCCTGTTTGAACTACCCTCCTCGGTCAACCCGTCCTGCTTCCAGCAGATCCTCTCCTTCTGCTACACGGGCAGGCTGACCATGGCCGCTAGCGAACAGCTCGTGCTCATGTACACGGCCGGCTACCTCCAGATCCAGAACATTGTGGAGCGCAGGATGAATCTCATGCTAAAGGCCAACTCTCCACACTGCGATTCCCAAACGGCCACCACCGAGGATCTGGGCTTCGAACCGCCGAGCCCCAACTACAGCCATCCGGCCCTGTTGCCAGGCGACACGCTAATGGCCACTTGTAGGATTAAGCAGGAAAGATGTGAGTCCCCAATGAGTGAGGAGCACACAGCCAGGGGCCTCAAGGGCTACGCCACAAGGAGCAGTGCGTTATGTTACATGGGGGCAGGAGGGAGTGGCATGGTACCCAGAGTACAGTCGTACCCTATGGCCTCTGGGGAGAGCTCTAGCCCAGGAGCCTCCAGCCTCCCAGCCACTGACAGCCCCACTTCCCACCCCAACGAGGAGGAGTTTGAAGAGGAGTTCTACGGCAGCAGCAATACAAACGGGGCTTACGGGCAGAATTATGGGCACCCCACCAACTCCTACAGCAGTAAATGCTCCATCCTCTGGGTTACTTTTTAGAAGCACCAGTAGTTCTCATTTGAGCACAACTTCAGCTTTAGAATATACTGTCTGGGATTGAAATTCTGCCTCCTCTTGTTCCCCCAGTGCAGGATAAGTTGGACATGTTGTCCCTACCTCTGGCCACTGAGGGGCGCTGTGTGCTGATCGGCAGGGACACGATGGCGCTGCCACCCAGTCTCATCAGCCAGATTGGCTACCGCTGCCACCCCACCCTGTACACAGAAGGGGATCCCGGGGAGAAGGTGGAGCTGGTGGGAGGTAAGACACAAGCAGTGACCCATGACATAGGCCACTCTAGTAATATGTATCTCTATGGTGCATCTCAGCTCGTCTCAAGCACTGACTCAATTAACACTAGAACCACTGGGCCTTTTAGCCTGTAAGTACCCGCTAGAGAATGTTGCTGGGCGTCCCCATTAGCGTCCGCATCAGATGAATATCAACCTGCAAGGTTGATAAGCACTAACTCTTGAAAAATATTGTAAAGGATAAATTGCATGAAGAAATATTCGTCGAAATATATCCATGTAAAAATATAACAACAATAGTGATTTGTTTAGATAGAGTCAAGGATATGTTTTGAATAATTCTACAAAGTCCTACTGAAAAACGTATAGCCTATTTTTATTTCCCTTACAATAAAAACATTAGTGTAATACATTTTATACAATTTATTTGTAGATTTTATTAGTAATAGAGTTATAGTAAGTATTACAGTCCAGTTACAGCTTCATTAGACAAAGTATAAAAAATATATACAGTGGGGGAAAAAAGTATTTAGTCAGCCACCAATTGTGCATGTTTTCCCACTTAAAAAGATGAGAGAGGCCTGTAATTTTCATCATAGGTACACGTCGACTATGACAGACAAAATGAGGGGGAAAAAAATCCAGAAAATCACATTGTAGGATTTTTTAATGAATTTATTTGCAAATTATGGTGGAAAATAAGTATTTGGTCAATAACAAAAGTTTCTCAATACTTTGTTATATACCCTTTGTTGTCAATGACACAGGTCAAACATTTTCTGTAAGTCTTCACAAGGTTTTCACACACTGTTGCTTGTATTTTGGCCCATTCCTCCATGCAGATCTCCTCTAGAGCAGTGAAGTTTTGGGGCTGTTGCTGGGCAACACAGACTTTAAACTCCCTCCAAAGATTTTCTATGGGGTTGAGATCTGGAGACTGGCTAGGCCACTCCAGGACCTTGAAATGCTTCTTACGAAGCCACTCCTTCGTTGCCCGGGCGGTGTGTTTGGGATCATTGTCATGCTGAAAGACCCATCCACGTTTCATCTTCAATGCCCTTGCTGATGGAAGGAGGTTTTCACTCAAAATCTCACGATACATGGCCCCATTCATTCTTTCCTTTACACGGATCAGTCGTCCTGCTCCCTTTGCAGAAAAACAGCCCCAAAGCATGATGTTTCCACCCCCATGCTTCACAGTAGGTATGGTGTTCTTTGGATGCAACTCAGCATTCTTTGTCCTCCAAACACGACGAGTTGAGTTTTTACCAAAAAGTTATATTTTGGTTTCATCTGACCATATGACATTCTCCCAATCCTCTTCTGGATCATCCAAATGCACTCTAGCAAACTTCAGACGGGCCTGGACATGTACTGGCTTAAGCAGGGGGACACGTCTGGCACTGCAGGATTTGAGTCCCTGGCGGCGTAGTGTGTTACTGATGGTAGGCTTTGTTACTTTGGTCCCAGCTCTCTGCAGGTCATTCACTAGGTCCCCCCGTGTGGTTCTGGGATTTTTGCTCACCGTTCTTGTGATCATTTTGACCCCACGGGGTGAGATCTTGCGTGGAGCCCCAGATCGATGGAGATTATCAGTGGTCTTGTATGTCTTCCATTTCCTAATAATTGCTCCCACAGTTGATTTCTTCAAACCAAGCTGCTTACCTATTGCAGATTCAGTCTTCCCAGCCTGGTGCAGGTCTACAATTTTGTTTCTGGTGTCCTTTGACAGCTCTTTGGTCTTGGCCATAGTGGAGTTTGGAGTGTGACTGTTTGAGGTTGTGGACAGGTGTCTTTTATACTGATAACAAGTTCAAACAGGTGCCATTAATACAGGTAACGAGTGGAGGACAGAGGAGCCTCTTAAAGAAGAAGTTACAGGTCTGTGAGAGCCAGAAATCTTGCGTGTTTGTAGGTGACCAAATACTTATTTTCCACCATAATTTGCAAATAAAATCATTAAAAATCCTACAATGTGATTTTCTGGAGAAAAAAAATCTCAATTTGTCTGTCATAGTTGACGTGTACCTATGATGAAAATTACAGGCCTCTCTCATCTTTTTAAGTGGGAGAACTTGCACAATTGGTGGCTGACTAAATACTTTTTTTCCCTACTGTATATATATATATATAATAATAATATAACCAGCGAGGTGCGCAGGTGAAATTATTTGCCGTATTCTTAAACAAAAGCACCAGTGCATGAATAATTGTAAAGGATGAATAGCATAAATAAATATTTGTGGAAGTATATCCATGACTAGATATAAAAACAATAGTTGTTTGTTTGGATAGAGTCAAGGATATGTTTTGTATAATTCTACAAAGTCCTAGTGAAAAACGTAGACCTATAGCCTATTTTCATTTCCCTTACAAGAAAAATATTACAGTGTAATACATTTGAGCAACTTTATTTGTAGATTCGATTAGTAATAGTATTACAGTCCAGTTACAGCTTCTTTGACAAAGTAGAAAACAAAAATATATACTAATATAAACAGTCAGGTGCTCAGGTGAAGTGATTTGATGTATTCCTAAACAAAAGCACCAGTGCATGAACAATTGTAAAGGATGAATAGCATAAATAAATATTTGTGGAAATATATCCATGACAAGATATAAAAAACGTAATTTGACATTGTCCTCTTTTTCCCGAGTGGGAGCTATGGTGCATAGGGAAGAGGGAGAGCAGGACGCGCTGCTGCCTTGGCTGCCTCCTTGGTGGACTGCTTGGTGGCTGTAGCTGCTTTCTTGGCTTTCATGTGGTTCTCACGAAGCTCACATGCCAGATCCATGATGAAGTCTCTGCTGACTATCTTGTCAAGGCATTGCTTGTACAACACGTGTGCATTGATAGCAGCCATGTCGAGCACATTGTAGAACACTGCAACAGGCCAGCGGCAAGTACCTCCTTTACAGAGTACAGTCTTGTCATCTGGTCGAGTGCATCCAGACCAAGCTATTGCATAAAACAAAATAGCATAGAAAAGGTTAGAATTATATAGAATAATACTAATAATAATATCAATAATATTAATGTAATACAATATAATGAAAGGAGATAATATTTGGTGCATGGCAGATGGAAAGGCTATCTGTAATGGCAGAGCTACGTACAGTGAGGGAAAAAAGTATTTGATCCCCTGCTGATTTTGTACGTTTGCCCACTGACAAAGAAATGATCAGTTTATCATTTTAATGGTAGGTTTATTTGAACAGTGAGAGACAGAATAACAACAACAAAAATCCAGAAAAACGAATGTCAAAAATGTTATAAATTGATTTGCATTTTAATGAGGGAAATAAGTATTTGACCCCCTCTCTCAATCAGAAAGATTTCTGTCTCCCAGGTGTCTTTTATACAGGTAACGAGCTGAGATTAGGAGCACACTCTTAAAGGGAGTGCTCTTAATCTCAGTTTGTTACCTGTATAAAAGACACCTGTCCACAGAAGCAATCAATCAATCAGATTCCAAACTCTCCACCAAGGCTAAGACCAAAGAGCTCTCCAAGGATGTCAGGGACAAGATTGTAGACCTACACAAGGTTGGAATGGGCTACAAGACCATCGGCAAGCAGCTTGGTGAGAAGGTGACAACAGTTGGTGTGATTATTTGCAAATGGAAGAAACACAAAAGACCTGTCAATCTCCCTCGGTCTCGGGCTCCATGCAAGATCTCACCTCGTGGAGTTGCAATCATCATGAGAAGGGTGAGGAATCAGCCCAGAACTACACGGGAGGATCTTGTCAATGATCTCAAGGCAGCTGGGACCATAGTCACCAAGAAAACAATTGGTAACACACTACGCCGTGAAGGACTGAAATCCTGCAGCGCCCGCAAGGTCCCCCTGCTCAAGAAAGCACATATACAGGCCCGTCTGAAGTTTGCCAATGAACATCTGAATGATTCAGAGGAGAACTGGGTGAAAGTGTTGTGGTCAGATGAGACCAAAATCGAGCTCTTTGGCATCAACTCAACTCGCCGTGTTTGGAGGAGGAGTAATGCTGCCTATGACCCCAAGAACACCATCCCCACCATCAAACATGGAGGTGGAAACATAATGCTTTGGGGGGGTTTTTCTGCTAAGGGGACAGGACAACTTCACCACATCAAAGGGACGATGGATGGCGCCTTGTACCGTCAAATCTTGGGTGAGAACCTCCTTCCCTCAGCCAGGGCATTGAAAATGGGTCGTGGATGGGTATTCCAGCATGACAATGACCCAAAACACACGGCCAAGGCAACAAAGGAGTGGCTCAAGAAGAAGCACATTAAGGTCCTGGAGTGGCCTAGCCAGTCTCCAGACCTTAATCCCATAGAAAATCTGTGGAGGGAGCTGAAGGTTCGAGTTGCCAAACGTCAGGCTCAAAAACTTAATGACTTGGAGAAGATCTACAAAGAGCAGTGGGACAAAATCCCTCCTGAGATGTGTGCAAACTACGAGAAACGTCTGACCTCTGTGATTGCCAAAAGGGTTTTGCCACCAAGTACTAAGTCATGTTTTGCAGAGGGGTCAAATACTTATTTCCCTAATTAAAATGCAAATCAATTTATTACATTTTTGACATGGGTATTTCTGGATTTTTTTGTTGTTATTCTGTCTCTCACTGTTCAAATAAACCTACCATTAAAATTATAGACTGATCATGTCTTTGTCAATGGGCAAACGTACAAAATCAGCAGGGGATCAAATACTTTATTCCCTCACTGTACCTTTGTGCGATTGTAGTCTGTCACTGTCTCCGGTTTCTTCTTCTGGTAACTGCCGATGGCAACAGTGGAATGCATGGTGCTGAGGATTGCAAATACTCTTAGTGTTGCTTTACCACTCTTTCATCACTTCATCACTGATGTGGACTAAAGCTCCGCTGGTATGTTGTTTTGTGCAGAGGGCGGCAGCTCCAGTCAGTTTGTTCACTGTTCCGAGCAGGCTAGTCTTCTTTGCCAGACTCCTGTCTCACTGTTGCAGTTAGGATCACCGTCTCAGTTGGCCCTGTTCTGGTTTTTCTGTGGCGAGACTCAGGCATCAGAGGCAGAGGCTCGAATCAGATGAAGAATCTTCATCAGCAACGTTGATTTCAAGATCAAGATCTGATCCACCATCCGATTCCAGCTCATCTATATTCTGCAGCATTTTCGATGCTGTCAGTGTGTCCATTCGTTTGGTTTGGCTTGCCATTGTGAACTACACACATTGAATGTTGTTCTCAGTGTCTGATTTTACTCTCTGAGGGGAGATGATATACCATTTCCAGCCTTAATAATTTAATTTAAATAGCCTTAAAAAATAATTTGAGCACCCACAATTCTTTATTATTACACTATTGTTTCTTTATTCAAACCCCTTCACCCTCGTCATTCAGATCATTCAAATTCAATCACCCTCTTCACCTTCCTCCTCATCATTCAGTTCATTCAAATTCAGTTGTGAAGTCACATGCACAATTATCCGTTTCTCTCTGGTTTCTATCACCCATTCATCCATTGACAACACTCATTCAGTGAGGAGAGAGATGCATTAGCGCCTGGGTACCAATGCCCTTCGGCACATTTGTCTTGGCCCCTTAAGTTAGTAATAGCTGTTTTAAAAAAAACAGGTAAACAGCCTCTAAATACCTTTCTGTTTGTGATTTTTTTAAATCGGACAACTGAGCAATCTAAAATATAAATATTTAGGGAAAGTCAGGGAAGGAGCAGGACGTTGCTATTTTTTGGGGGGCATATTTTTATTTATTTACAAAATCAAACGTCAGTAGTCGTTGGCCTATGGCTGTTGTAGTGTTAAAGACCTAAGCCCTCACGTGCAGACAGTTTATTTTCTTCTTTCCAACTGTATCATACAATACAGAGATGTTATCATGGACATAGAGATCATTAGGGAGGCCCGCCGTTTTATTGTTTTCATCATGGATGTGAACGTGAGTAGCATTGCTCTGTCCTTTTCCACAGGTTCTGGTGTATATATGACTCGTGGCCAGTTGATGAACTGTCATTTGTGTGCTGGCATTAAGCACAAAGTGCTGCTGCGTCGGTTGCTCGCCACCTTCTTTGACAGGTTAGAATGTTCAATTCTACAGTGCATTTGTAACTATATTGTCGTGGCCAGATTGTGGACCTAGACAGTAGACTACTAGCTCTTTATAAAGCATATTTTGTAATATCAGACAGAGAAAATTAGAGTGGGGGGGTAGAGAAAATGATAGAAAGGATAAAGAGAGAGCCCTATGATTACTGATTAGGCTATTGTATACATAGAAACACTCTGGCCAATAGCTGTGGAACTGGAATTCGCTCCTCCACCAATGATCCCAGCCGAAAACCGTTGGACAACCGAGTCCTAAACACTGTCAAACGTAGGTGCCCTTCTGTTTTCTCAGGTGTTAAACATCATACTGTATTAATTTGGCTCAACACTGTATGTAAAGTAGACAATATGCATTTCTTTCAATGTTGCCTTGTCTCTTTCCCCTCTTTTGCAGTCTACTGTCAGAACTTTGCACCTAATTTCAAGGAGAGCGAGATGAACGTGATCGCAGCCGACATGTGCACCAACGCACGGCGTGTGCGAAAGCGCTGGCTGCCCAAGATCCAGTCCATGCTCCCGGAGACCAAGGAGAGCAGCAGGAGCTCCTGCAAGGGGCAGTCCAGGGCCTGTGCGTCATCCCAGACAAGCGTGCTGTCGTCAGCCTTGCCCTTTGAAATGGACTTCAGACACCTGACGTCGTCCTACCTGACCCTAGAACAGCAGCTCTACGCCGAGAGCCGCAAAGAGACTCTCCTACCTCACCTGCAGTTTGTGGGGACCACCAGGTCAGAGGAGGGGGCTGCAGCAGCAGGGCTGGCTGAGTCTGAGACAGAGTCTGGGCCTGAGCGAGGAGGACGAGGAGCCCAGGCAGGCCAAGGAACTGAACGCCACTCTGAGCGCTTGGAGAGAGCAGCTGAGGTTCCTTCCCTCAGCACACAGGGTAAGGCTGGGGCCGGGGGCTCCCCCTCCTCCAAACACACAGGGCAGCAGGAGGACAAGTCGCTAGGAGATGACCAGTGAGCTCCTAACATCCCTCTTCTCCACCAATCTATATATGTCTATGTATGTGTATTTAAGCTTTGGCTACTCTACTGCATGTAACATCGCAGCAATTGCAGTTCAGACATGCACTTAAAAGAAAACTGATGAAAAATTAAATGCAGTATAATAATTCCCTGAATAAGAAGAGGAGAATGCTACTACTGTGGCCCCTGATGGACTCACTGATAGATAAGGTGGGTGAACAGACATGGGGCGAATGTTGCCGTCTGTAGTTTGTACTCTTGTAAAGCCTACAAGACCAGAGGTCTAGGGTTGGCTTTTATGTGCATTTACCCTCTACTACACCACTGGTCATAATGTATGGCTCACTACCAACACTTCGGTAACACTTTATTTTATAGTACAGAAATTACCTGGTATTTTACTTAGAAATTGCATGGTAAATTGGTAATTATACAATTATAATAACCTATAACCTATAACCTACATTTGTTTCTTTTAGGCTCATTGCAAGTAGCACCACTCATCACCATTTGGTACCAGGTAGTTACCAATAGTTTAAAGGTCTTTGAAGTAAGTAGCAGAAAGTACCCATTGATACCTCACAATTTCCTAGAAAATACCAGGTAATACCAAGTCATTTCTGTTCCTTAAAATAAAGTGCTACCAACGCTTCTTTATTGAATTCAGTTTCTAATTGTTCTGCTTCCACCTAATTACCTCTGATGTGAAATTATGTTCATCTATATAATCAACTGTTGGCACTGAATAAGACAAACATTACCAATAACAAAGTGGGGAGGCCACACACTATTGCTTCTATATTCCTTTATTTTAACCAGCTTGAAACTGTCGGTCCACTGCGATGCGTTGAAGGTATAGCCCCAGTGAGATTGATCTGTTCTTTACCTTATATCCAGGACTGTTTTGATAATACTGATTGGAATATGTTAAAATATTTATCCACCCAGGACTCATCCATCAGCATTGAGGAATATACACCATCAGTCACAGGCTTCATTAGGACGTGTTGATGTTGTTCCCACAATAGCAATCCGGACATACCCCAACCAAAAACCCTGGATGAACAGAAATATCCGTACCATGCTGAGAGCCCATACTGCAGCATTCAATGTCAGCAGAACGAACCCTGATGACTCGGTTGCGTTCGATGCGTATAAGGCAAGTAGTTACGAGCTCCTCAAATCCATTAGGGACGCAAAAAGACATTACAGACTCAAACTTGAATCGATGTTTGACAACTTAGACACGACATGTGGCAAGGACTAGCTGTGTGGTGCCCACCGAAGCCTCCCTCCCAGACGAGTTTAACACATTCTATGCTCGCTCTAAGGGAGACAATACCGAGCTATCCATGAAGAATCTCGATGCTCCGGATGACCAGGTGCTTTCACTCTCAGAGGCTGATGTGAGGAAAACTCTCAAAAGAGTGAATACTCACAAAACCGCCGGACCAGATGGCCTCCCTGGCCTCCCTGGCCGTGTGTGCTGACCAGCTGGGGAGGGTATTCTCAGACAACTTCAACCTGTCCCTGGCTGTAGTCCCCACCTGCTTCAAGGAGATTTACCATCATCCCAGTGCCCAAGAAAAACAAGGTGACATTCCCAAAGGACTATCGACCCGTCTCACTCACCCCAGTCATCATGAAGTGCCTCGAGAGGCTGTTCATGGCCCATATCAAGGCCAGTATGCCAGGCACACTGGACCCACGCCAATTTGCCTACCGCTCCAACAGATCCACGGAAGATCCCATTTTTTAAGTAAGCATTTCACTGTAAGGTCTACACCTGTTGTATTCAGCGCATGTGACAAATAAAATTAGATTTGATTTGATTTCCGTTGCTATTCACACGGCCCTAACACATCTGGACAAGAGGAACACCTATGTGAGAACGCTGTTCATTGACTACAGTTCAGCATTCAACACTATTGTTCCCTCCAAGCTCGACACCAAGCTCACCTGCAACTGGATCCTGGACTTCCTGGCGGGCAGACCATAGGAACAAGACCTCCTCCATACTGACTCTTAACACAGGGGACCCCCAGGGGTATGTCCTCAGCCCTCTGCTGTACTCCCTGTTCACCCATGACTGCGTGGCTTTGCACGACACCAGCTCCATCAAGTTTGCTGATGACACCACAATTGTAGGCCTGATAACCAACAACGACGAGTCAGTCTATAGGGAGGATGTAAGTGAACAGGCATTGTGATGCCAGGATAACAGCAGCTAGAATTTGTCCGTCCACAATTCAACTGTGGGAACATGGCGGCTCTCAACACCAGGCAACAGAAAGAGCTGGCCGCTACTATAAGAGAGCTTGTTTGTGAGGAGATTACCTCTGCCCCCGACTTTAAAACCAATAATTAAATCATTGGCCGTGCTCACTGCTAAAGTGGATACCTATTCAACTAAAGTGGAAAGTCTGGAGAAGACAGCCAATGCGACAGAGGTGGGACTCCATGACCTGGAAACAGTACAAGCTAAGTTGGAAGGGATAATCAAACTCCCGTAAATTCAATGTGCGGGTCACAGGACTTGAAACTGGTGTGGAAGTGGGCAACCCAACTTTCATGAGCAATCTTTTCTATGAACTGTTCGGGCAGGAGAAGCTGGGTCCCATACCGCTGATTAACAGCGCGCATCGCACGGGTCAACTCCAACGGCTCTCGCTGTATGAGTGTACGGATCCACAGCTTTGAAGTCTAGCGGTGCATTGTTCACCTTGCAGTGGAATCCGAGGGTCTGACCTATGCAGGGAAGAGGATCAGCATCTACCCAGACCTGAGTGCCGAAATGCTAAAACAGAGGGAGACCTACAACGAGGTGAGATACCAGCTACGCAAGCTAAACCTGAGATGCGGCTTCATCCACTCGACAAAACTCCTCTTGACCTTCCAGAACACAACACACACGTTTTCCACTGCCAAGGAAGCTCAAGACTTCTTCAAGAAGCACATCAAACCCAACACAAAAGGGGACAAGCCGACAGAAGGAACCCCATGACTGGCAAATTTTTTAAGGTATGCTATCCATGCACATTCACGCGGCCTAGCCTATGGCTATGATGCTGCCCTCAGCATAAGACAATGATGAGGACACCCCCTAATGTTTGGGTACAAGGAACAATATTACTATTAATTGCTGAGCATTAAACTTCTTATAAGTATATTGCCTATGGTCCTGGACATCTACACAGTAATGGCACCACACCGATTAATGAACAATGGACAATATATTGAGGTTCATACGTACTGGAACTGCTTTCTTCTGTCTACAGCGTATTGAATCCATTTGGGCTAAATATGGCAATATACAGTAAATATACAAAAGTTATGTGGATACCACTTCAAATTAGTGGATTCGGCTATTTCAGCCTCACCCGTTGCTGACAGGTGTACCAAATCAAGCACACAGCCAAGTAATCTCCATACACAAGCATTGGCAGTAGAATGGCCTTACTGAAGAGCTCAGTGACTTTCAACGTGGCACCGTCATAGGATGCCACCTTTCCAACAAGTCAGTTTATCACATTTCTGCCCTGCTAGAGCTGTCTCTGTTATTGTGAAGTGGAAACATCTAGGAGCAACAACGGCTCAGCCGCAAAGTGGGAGGCCACACAAGCTCACAGAACGAGACGGCTGAGTGCTGAAGTGCGTAGTGCGTAAAAATCGTCTGTCCTTGGTTGCAACACTCACTACTGAGTTCCAAATTGCCTCTGCAAGCAACGTCAGCACAAGAACTGTTCTTCGGGAGCTTCATGAAATGGGTTTCCATGGCCGAGCAGCCGCACACAAGCGTAAAATCACCATGCGCAATGCCAAGCGTCGGCTGGAGTGGTGTAAAGCTCACCGACATTGGACTCTGGAGCAGTGGAAACGCGTTCTCTGGAGTGATGAATTACACTTCACCATCTGGTAGTCCGACGGCCGAATCTGGGTTTGGCGGATGCCAGGAGAACGTTACCTGCCCGAATGCATAGTGCCAACTGTAAAGTTTGGTGGAGGAGGAATAATGGTCTGGGGCTGTTTTTCATAGTTCGGGCTAGGCCCCTTAGTTCCAGTGAAGGGAAATCTTAACGCTACAGCATACAATGACATTCGAGACGATTCTGTGTTTCCAAATTTGTGGCAAAAGTTTGGGGAAGGCCCTTTCCTGTTTCAGTATGACAATGCCCCCATGCACAAAACGAGGTCCATACAGACATTTTTGTTGATCGGTGTGGAAGAACTCGACTGGCTTGCAAAGAGCCCTGACCTCAACCCCATCGAACACCTTTGGGATGAATTGGAATGCCGCTGCGAGCCAGGCCTAATCGCCCAACATCAGTGCCCGACCTCACAAATGCTCTTGTTGCTGAATGGAAGCAAGTCCCCACAGCAATGTTCCAACATCTAGTGGAAAGCCTTCCCAGAAGAGTGGAGGTTGTTATAGCAGCAAAGGGGGGACCAACTCCATATTAATGCCCATGATTTTGGAATGAGATGTTCAACGAGCAGGTGTCCACATACTTTTGGTCATGTAGTGTAAGTTAGTGGCTATTGCTCTACTATCTTTTCTTTAATTTTGTATAGATTTTTTGCTACTGGCAAGGAGAGATGGCCAGTCCCATATGGGCTACTACTACACATTAGCTTTTTTGCTTTTGCTTGTTTTTCTTCTTGTTGATTCCTTTCCCCCTCTATTTAATACAATTTGTATGTCGCTCTGGATAAGAGCGTCTGCTAAATGACTTAAATGTAAATGTATTTAGGCTACTGAATGTATCTCCCAGGGAGGACTTGCCTACAGGCAATGATGAATTATTATATACAGTAACATCTAGAGTATAGACTTACATTTTTACACATACCCTCTTATTTTTTTGCACATAGTATAGAGCACTTAAAGGAGGGAAAATATATGTTTAAGGTCATTCAAAGCATATTGCTAATAATAAATTAATATAATGGATTAAGTGCTATTGCTCCTACAGCTATCCTATTTTTGACTGTTTA